GATAGGGTACTTGTTGACCCAGTTGTTGTGGAGCTAGATGCCGACGCATCCCATCAGCACGTTCAGCTCCTGCCTCTTCTCCCACTTCTTCAGGAGGGTGACGGCGAAGAAATACTGCTACAGGTCGAAGTGGGGACTAATCCCCAGGAACCCCTCACACAGAGCGACGAACGCCACAATGTGCTGGATTCCATTAGGATTAAGGTGCTGCAGCTCCACCTTGTAGTAATGCAACAACCACCAAATGAACTTATGGGCGGGGGGGCGAATCCCTGCTCGTGGAAGTGAGTGAAGGACACGATGTAGATGTCAGGCGGCGATAGCGGGTCCTCATCATTGGGTAGCCGCCACTCCTCGATGGCATTCCGTGAGCAGAGGAGACCACGGTGGACGAGGCCCTCCAAATCGCTAGAGGGTGATATCGGATCTGCACCATGGCTCCATTAAATGATTGGGGTGGGTGGATGCGAACTTGATGACGGCTGAGATGCGGATGCGGGGAGCTTGGGCGATTGGCGGCGAAGGCAAGGAGGCAAAGTACGAAACCCTAGGGTCAAACCCTTTGGTTTTATAGGGGCGACGGATGCGAGGAAGGCAAACCGTCTGCCTAGATCTCCGTGCCTACCATGATCCACCACCATGGCATGTCGCGGGATATGCACCCGTAATCCCTATCCTCCCCCTTGAAGACGCGATGGATGTTTCACCTACCCCTGACAGACCAGGACTCTTTACCAGCAAAAGGGATATAGGTCAAAAGGTGTTTCTTGGGCCACCTAGGCCTAGGAGTTCAAAGGCTGGCCCATCAACAGTTTCAACGATCGTCCCAAGGCACCCTTGCGACAAAGAATGGGCCCGCGAGTGGCCAAAACTTAGGCGCACGAGTTTCACTAGAGTCTCGGCCCACGATCGAGTCTCCGCCGGGCTGACCCTGGTCGGATCCTGGCTAACAAACCATCAAGTCTCATGACCACACCCACGAAGGGTCCGACCTCGCGAAGGAGAACTCACCGTCTTCAGGGCACGCCGTGGACAACAATAGAGGGCCAAGGCTCTCAGAATCCTCTCTTTCAAAAAACCCTCCGAAGGAATATTCTACTCCTCCGTAGGCTCGAGGGCTACACCCACCAGGTGCGCTCACATGCACCCATTGGTAGGTCAAAAAATCCCCTAGACGATTATACTCGAATCGCTCGGGGGCTCGGGGGCTACTGTCGGGGACCAATACTATGGTACCCATGAGAAGGACTTAATACCTATCAACATTGATTTGTCCCAGCATCAGGAGCATGACTGCACCTCTTGCGGGGCATCGCCTCATCCAGCCACCAAGGTCGCGGGCTCCATCTCGTCCGGCCCCCAAGGGTCGACTCGACCTTGGCTGGCTCCCAAGGGATGGCTTCACCTCATTCGACCCCTGAGGGTTAGCTTCATCTCGCTTGATGTCTGAGGGCTGGCTCTACCTCGTCCGACCCCCCGAGGGTTTGGCTCCATGTCGCCCAACGTCTAAGGGCTGCTCCACTCTCATCCAACCCCGAGGGTTTGGCTCTGCCTCGCCCGATGTCTGATGGCAATTTCCGCCTCTCTCGATGTCTAAGAGTTGGCTCCGCCTCATCCGACCCCTGAGGGTTGGCTCCACCTCGCCCGACGTCTGAGGGCTGTTTCCGCCTCGCCCGACGTCTAAGGGCTAGCTCTGCCTCATCTGACCCCCGAGGGTTGGCTCCGCCTCACTCGATGTTTGAGGGTTGTTTTTGCCTTGCCCGACGTTTGAGGGCTGGCTCCTCCTCGTCCACCCCTCGAGGGATGGCTCCACCTCGCCCGACGTCTGAGAGTTGTTTCCGCCTAGCCCGATGTCTGCGCGCTGCTCCTTCATAACTACGCATGTAGATAAGGCAGGGCACTCAAGTCAACCGTAATACCAAGGATCATACCCTGCATGCCTATAGGAAAGTACCATCAGGATATGACAAGATGGGCGCTTTAAGCCCTTTTAGACATGTCAGAGCCCGAACAGTGTTGTAGGCACCGACATTTTTCTTACAGTGTTGTGGGCCCCATCATTTGCCCTTGGGCGCGGATCTTGATGGAAGCATATGACAATCACTATGGTCCAAAAGGAAACTCGCATCATCTATGGTGATGGACGTGCGATCACTGCACCATCTGGCTCCCTATAGGGTCACAGATCAGCACCCTGATCCATCGCACCGCCCGTCGGGATGAGATGGGACGTGACCACTTGCTGACAAAACCAGAACATGGCATCATCAGTGGACAGACGCCCAGCGCGGCCGTATTAGGATCTGCGAACATGCACCCAACATAGAGCTATCCCTAGCGCCATATGTCATGTCAGCGGGGCTCGCTCAAAGGAAAAGGAAGACCCAACATCTTTGAAGGACCTCCTTTGTCTCTGGTTTTTCTTCTTTCTCCCATTTGTAATCCCTGCTTCCCCATGGTCTATAAAAGAGAAGGGAGGGCACCCCACTAGGGGGGATTGATTCAACACACCACGCATCACATTACACATAACTGAGCAGCGACCATGCTCTCAGCATCCATTCGACCTTTCAATCGGAGACTTGGGACATGTCCCTCTCTCGCCCATTTGTAACCCCTACTATGAACTTTTCAGTGCAAATAACACAAACAGCAGCCACAAACTAGACCTAGAGATATTCTGCCCAAACCAGTATAAACCTTGTGTCTTTTTAGCACACCATCCAGGCCAGATGCGCAATAACATAAATTTACTCGTTGGTGTTTACTCGAAACACCGACATATATGGAGTAACATTCCAACATATATTGAACTATTAGAAGAGATAAGTATCAAATAAAGTAGTTAAGAAATCAGCTGAAAATGATCCTAACGATGGACATAAAAAGATGAATCAATAGACCATCAGGTGACTATCGATGAATGTCCACTGTCAACTATCTAGTGGTTTGAATACATGGAAAACTAAAAAGAAGGGTGAGTAGTGTAAAAACCCATATTATATGTCTTTTGGATGGGGATACAGCGGTTCCTTATGTAGCACAATTCATATTCTAGTAGTACAAATAATTTGGTACAGCTGTCTCTACACACGTCGTCTCAGACTGCAAAAAGTTGGTTTCGATTAGACGGTATGACCAGTCTTGTGTAATAGAGCAAAGCGGCATGGTCTATAGTTCAGGGCTACAAAACTAGAGTCAGCAACATAGTGCTATGTCAAGTCACGATAAATCGATAAGATGTGATACAATATATGCATCGACATTGGAACAAGAGATAAAATCTAATAGGACAAGTACAACAATATAGAAGCGAGATACAAAGTTAAAAAAAGGTATATTGAACGAAGAACAGACCATCGTTATGGCAACCAAGCTAGAACACATTTGCACAACATGTGATGAAGGGACATGCCGTGGGCCATGGTGCTGCATTGCCGCGTCAAGATGTGCGGTGCGGCAGCTCCTGCCACCTCAGCGGCCATGGCGCATGGAAGTGCCATGTCATCGTCACGCCGCCACGCCACCATGCATGGCGCGGCAGCGTTGTTTGTCCGCGCCGTAGCAATAGTCGTGGCCAAAAGTGTTTGATTTGAAAAAAAAACAGAATTAAAAATAGTTTAAAAAAATGTTAAAAATAAAAAAAATTCCAGGCCGGCGCCTCGGATTCTAGCACGGCGGGGGAACAAAACCACATGCTCGCTCCATACGCGCACGCGGCGCTACCTTGCGAGCCCCCACGGCCATGGCCCCTCTCCGCCACACGGCAGGCCCGGATCAGTGACGTCCTGGCGCCGTGCTAGTCGTCCAGGCCACCAATAAAAACGCTGTAGGAGCCGCCTGAATCTCAAAGCGAAGCCTGCTCCGCTCGTGCGCCACCACGCAGTGCGCAGCGAAACATGGATCCCATGTCCAGCGGCGCCATGTTTTTTGGACGCCAACTTTTTCTGTGCTGCTGCTCGGTGATGGCGATGGAAGCGATGGCGTGCGTGCATGCTTGCTTGGTCATCCACGCATGTCCAGATTTGAGGCGAGGCCGCTTTGACCCTTGAGACGCGGTCATGTCATGTGCTGGAGCCTGGCCGTCCGTGCGTCACCCCGTCACCGTGCGCGTAGGGCGGGGACGAGCAAGCACGGTGTGCCGTTGTGCGCCGTGTGTTGTACAGTGTCGGTCAATCATGATCCCCAGCTCCAGGCTTTCCGGGTTGCTGGGCTGCTGGCTCCCGTTTTCGCCGCAGAGCAGACGTGCAGTCACTGCGCGCCATCTCCATCACTTCATTCAGTGCCCTCTCTGTCTCTGTCTATCACTCTCTTTGTGTGCCTTCCAGCTATCTCGTGCCGTACGGCTTCACGATCTCTTCTAATTTCATGTCCCGGTCTATCGTCTCCAAGTCCAAGGTCCTCCAAGCTTGGGCGCTTGGCTCAACCTCCGAGCTCCGTTCTTCTTGCATTGCCCATTCTTGCGCCTGTGCTGTGCCCCAGCGCATTGCAGGTCTTCGTTTCGTGTTCCTCTGTAGTTCTCAGAGCATAGATGAGGAGATCATCTCAGGGGATGATGAGCCAAAGCTACGATGCGGGCAGCGGGAGGGGGCTGCTGGCCTGCTATGTCAAGGAGAAGCCAAGGCCATCTAAGTGGGACGCCGCCCAGTGGTGGCTGTCCTCCTCCCGGGCGAACGACGATGACCAGCGACGGAGCTCCTGCGCGGACGACCAGCTCCTGCTGCCGTCGGCGTCGTAGAAGGGGCAACACTCATGGAGTGCCGTGGACTGTGTCGCCCTGCCCGCGGCGCTGGGGCTCGGCGCGTGGGACGATGGGGATGCAGAGGGGGAGGCGAAGACTGAGTCCGAGACCAAGAGGGTGGACATCATTCTGGCGTACGGGCAGCCACCGCGATGCCTCTCACCGTGGGACATCGGCACAGAGATGACATCGGTCAGGGAGTAAGGAGCCATCTAGGGCCAACACCCCACGCAATACACTACCGGCCACGCTGGCACCGATGCCGTCCACGGCGGGGCGGACGAACTGCGCACCGCAGCGCCGATGGGATTCCTCGACGGACGGTGGATCGCCACCGGGCCTAGCGGCAGTGGACCGCGGCACAGGCTTCGAGTGCGGTGACGCCCAGGAGCGCAAGGAATCGGCGCCCGATGCGCCGCCGCCGACGGCCGTGTCGCCCGCGACGGCGTGGGACGCCGCCGAGCGCACCAAGCACATGGCCAGGTGAGGTGACCGCCATCTCTCGTTGTCGGCTACTACCAAGCACCAATGCGCGCTTTCTCCTCCGCATGTTGCTGAACCATGTGATGTGAGGCAAAGGCGGGGCAACAAACGCCACTGCCACGGTAACAGTGTTCGAGCACTGCCGGTGCATGAACTGGAGTGGGCTGCCTGTTTGTTGCCTTTGTGTCTCTAACTCACCGATGAGTCATCATCAAGTAGAAATAACAAGTGCATGTGCCTTTTTCACAGCTTGCATTGTACTGTGCGTGCTGACGACGTCACCGACGCGCCCTTCTCGCAGGTACCGGCGCGAGGAGATGAAAATACAGGCCTGGGAAAACTGGCGACGGCAAAAGGCGGAGCTGCAGATGAAGACGACGGAGGTATCAATGATCATGGCCATATGTTTTAGTTTCATCAGTCTAGGAAAAAAAGTAAAAAAAACTGGACATGGTTCATCACTCTAGAAATTGAGATGGGCCTTCGTTTCATCGCTGGGCAGGCCAAGGCGGAGAGGATGAAGCGGCGGACGCAGGAGAAGATGGTGAGCAAGATGGCCTCGGCGCAGGCGGCGGCCAGGGAGAAGCGCGCGTAGGCGGAGGCCAAGCTGAACCGACGTGCCGCGCGGGTCGGGGATAGGGCAGACGCGCTGAGGTGGACCGGGCACCTGCTGTCGTTGTCCTCCGTGTTCTCGCTCAAGTTGCCGCTGATGTGCAGCTGAGAGGCGAAGGTGAGCTCGTGCATGTGCAGATTAGCGAGAGGGCGTATTTCCAGGCACATTTAAGGGCCCGTTCGCTTGGTCTTATCAGCCGACTTATCAGCTTATAGTTTTTTTTTCACAACAAAACAGTTTCAGTCGGCTTATCAGCCGCCTTTAATACCAGCCGAACAGGCCATTAGTCCTAATTTGGAAAGTCTAATTCCTCAAGGATCTCAGACTTTTTTCTAAGTTGATAATATCATTCTAATTATCTTTGTTCTTAGTGGAGGTTTTTCATACCTGGTTTTTGCCCCTGCTTCCAAAAAGAGCCCTCCCTGTTTCCAGGCGTTGATACGTAACGTAGCTGAGGAATTCTTTTTCCGTTGTCTGTGACAACAATGGAGGCTGCAGACCAGAGGAGGCGTGCGTTGTGGCACCACAGTTGACACGGGTGTTGTTCAGAGTTTCAGTCACTCGACACAAGTCCTGGTCGAATTGACGCCACGGTTGGGATGCTGCTCATGTCCTTGTATTTCAGTCGAGCGGTTTGTGATGCACACAGGCACACAACACATAGAGTTGTAGACAGTTGTTTTTTTGTCTGCAGAAATCAATAAAGAACATAAAGATTTTATGTCTTATTCACCGTTTTCATTTTGAAAATTGTATAGTACAAAGGGAGCGATATTGGTAAATTAAAGATTCAACGCGTCAAAAGAGAGTACGCATTGAGGGCGGGGGGCGAGGACGAGTGGTGCTCTGCTCTTGAAGAGAGGATCTGGAGGGGATATGCTGCATCCGTCCAATTCGATATCAACATTTGTAGGGGTGAAAAATGTGCCGACCGGCGTATTTTACATTTTGACTGCAAATAGAGAAGGGAAGCAAACGACTATAGCTTAATTAGATAGTGCATTTTGTTTTGCTCACTGTTCAGAGCCTTCGTGTTCTTCTCAAATCAGCTTCTGTATACAATCGAAGGAGGTGATTACTGTCATGTCGTGTGTGACGGGGGAGGAAGAAAGTGATTGGGGAAAAGGAATACATGTGACCAAGTGTCTAAGTTGTAGTAATATTGGAGAGGCTTTTTGATTTTTTTTAGATAATGGAAAAGTCTTTTTGGTGTACTACTAACTCTTAGATGATGTGGCAAAATATGAGATAGTAAGAGCATCTTCAGCGGTAGGAGAAAAAAATCAAACCAAAAAACTAGTTATTGGGGAGATATAAAAGGTGTTTTGGGATTTTATAAAGGTCTCTAGTAGAATGAAAAAAATCCCATCCCAAATGAGAAAAGCGGTGGATCAGGGAGGAGGATATGATTTTAGGGTTAACATTTTAATTTTCTCATTGGAGATGGGTGGGGACTGCTGGAGCTACAAAATCTTCAAAATAACATTTTTTATCATTGGAGGTTAGAAAAATCGGACTGCTGGAGACGTTCTAAGTTGCTCAATGGATGGACTAGCCCATATGTCTTTTGGGGCTTTCTCAATTGTTCAGTTAACAGGAACCAAAATAATAGGACAAAATTTGGTTACTTAGAATTATTAGAGACCAAATTGTAACTTAACATTTTAGTTTCAGTTATTTTGGTTTTGATCTTAGATATTTTGATATAGTTTTCGGTCATCTATTACTAGTTATATGCCCACCACTATTTCTGCGTTCTGTTCACATGATTTTCGACGTCAACACCTTCTTGCAACTAGACATCATGCATGTCGGTGTTTTTGGACCACCGACGAGTAAATTTGTATTTGCGCGTCTGGCTCGGATGGTGTGCTCGAAGGACACAAGGGGTTATACTGGTTCGGGCGGAACGTCCCTATGTCCAGTTCGCTGCTGCTCGTGTTACCGGCACTTGGTTTGCAGTAGGGGTTGCAAACAAGCGAGAGAGGGAGAGGATCCCAAGTCTCTGGTGGAAGGAGTGAACGGGTGCTGAGAGCTCACTTGCTGCTCAGCTGTGTGCTCGCGTTGTGCTCTTGTGTCTAGATCCCCATTTCATGAGGCGCCCTGCTTCCCCTTTTATAGGCGAAGTGAAAGCGTGGGTTATAGAGGAGGAAAAGGAGAAGGACGAGAGAAAGAAGAAGGTTTCCAGGGTTGTCGGGTCCTTCTTCTTCTTTAAGTGGGTCTCACCGATCCTGTAGATGTCAACAGGGACGGCTCCATGTCATGGCCCTATTCATCACTAGCGCCATGCGCAGGCGTCATCTATCGATCATGGTGTTCCACTTCATCCCGGCGGACGTCGTGGTGAACTGACGTGCCTGTCAGCGTCCGTACGAGGATTAGGCAAAACAACACCAGCACGCCCGACAATGTTCTTGATGTGAATCCCCAGGTATGGTCCATCATGGCCACGGGTTACATCGAGGCGTGCCAGCCTCTTCCCTGGTGTCAGAGTTTTGACTTAGGCCCATATGCTTGGACTTGGAGTGGTCGGCGGCGGTATGGGTCCCCATCGGACGAGACGAACCCACGTCCTCGAGGTCGGGAAGACGGAGCCAGCGACCTTGGGCGAGATAGAAACCGCATCCTTGGGGTCGGGCGAGACGGAGCCTACACCCAAGGGGTTGGGCGAGATGGAGCCCGCGGCCTTGAGGTCAAGCAAGACAGAGCCTGACGGCCTCGAGGTCGGGCGAGATGGAGCCCGCGACATGGGCAAGATGGAACCCGTGTCCTTGGGGTTGGGCGAGACAAGGCCCGCACCCAAGGGGTCGGGCAAGATGGCGCCCATGGCCTCGAGGTCGGGCGAGACGGAGCCCGTGGCCTTGGGTCGCTCGAGACCTTTTAATATGTCTCTAGCCATCTGGGGAAGTCAGTGTGGGCACTAACTTCCTTGTTCATGGCATTGTCGGGTATCAATATTAGGGATACCCAAGTGCTGGTAACATGAGCAGTGGCGAACTAGGACGTAGGGATGTTCCACCCGAACCAGTATAAACCCTTGTGTCCTCCGAGCACACCATCCGAGCCAGACCCACAAATACAAATTTACTCTTTGGTGGTCCGAAAACACTGATAGTTGGTGCGCCAAGTAGGGGCTTTTTACGCATCTCAATGTCCACATCAGGCCTCCGATGGCTAGTCATGGCGTCAGCTAGCGTGCACAGGCGCTTTGGGAACCTTGACTTCATCGTTACGACAGAGGGAGAGTTCGCGTAGGTTCCCACCGCCGTCCAGCCACTCCACTCCACCACCCTCTACACGATCGCCGAGATGCTTGAGGAGCTATAGCTGCATGCACCGGAGGCCCGTGGCCCCTGGAGCGACCAGCTCCTCGGCTTCAATTACTAGAGGCTAGAGCGCCATCTCGACGCCTTCCTAGGACCCCTAACCATCCTAGGAGGACCTACATTGCCTCACCTTCTCAGTCGCCAATGTCATGACGCAACTTGCTGGAGGAGAGCCGCTCTCCCTAGAATACCTCATCCAGAGCGCCCGACAGCAATCCCATTCGGTCTGACGAATGTCGTAGAGACCGTTTGTCCACCTTGTGGCATAGCGCATGCCCCCATCCCATACAGAACGACAAGTTTGTGGGGATGACCGAATACGTCATCAAATCTTTCCATGATGTTCTCACGGGAGAATCGGAGTCACCCTCGACTCTGACTCCAGCCGGGGGAGCCATCACCCCTCGTGAGAATATTTTATGGCACGTACCCCCGAGGGATACATCAAAAGCATCCACGAGGGTGGAGCTACCCTAACAGATGACCTCGATGATGAGGTCAAGGGGTAAGCAGGGGCCCCACCTCGCCTGCGGGTAGAGCACCGAGGGTGCAAAACCAAGAGCTCGAGCGAATGGCCAGTGACCAGTACAAGCCCTTGGTCCACTACAAGGAGCTAGAATAGACCGATGATGTACCACCTGCCTTGGGCTAGGGGGCTCACCAGCCGGCAGCTCCATCTGACCCTAAAGTCATGGAGCTTGACAAGGATCCAACGATAGAGCCTGGCCCTCTGGCCGACTAGAGGACGCCTTACCTCAACTACATCCTCCATGAGGCGCCGTCGACAGACAAAATGGAGGCTCAGCGGCTCGCATGTTGTGCCAAGTTCTTTGTCGTTATTGAAGGTGAGCTCTACAGGTGAAGCCACACCGGGATCTAGCGCTACATCCCCATCGAACAAGGGAAGTAGTTGCTGAGTGATATCCATGGTAGGGTCTGACGGGCACCATGCCACACCTAGGATCCTAGTCAAAAATCGCGTTTTGACAAGGCTTCTACTGGCCGACCATAGTAGCCGATGCTGAACAGATTATGTGCACCTATGAAGGGTGTCAATACTACGCTTGGTAGACCCACCAGCCGGCCCAAACACTCCAAATGATCCCCATCACATGGCCATTCGTGGTCTGGGGGCTCAATCTGGTCGGACCTCTCAAGAGGGTGCCTGGGGGCTATACGCACTTGCTTATCGCCGTAGACAAGTTAACAAAGTGGATAGAGGCTCGATCGATCTCCTGATCAAGTCCGAGCAAGCCGTGTTGTTCTTCCTTGACATCGTCCATCACTTTGGAGTCCCGAACTCCATTATCACGGACAACAACACGTAGTTCACTAGGAAAAAGTTCCCCCAATTTTGCGATGAATACCACATTCGTGATCGATTGGGCGGCCGTGGCGCACCCCCGCACGAACGGGCAGGTCGACCGCACGAATGACATGGTCCTACAAGGCCTCAAGCCTGGGATCTTCAACCGGTTGAACAAGTTTGGTAGATGATGGGTCACGAAGCTTCGTGCTGGTGCTCTAGAGCCTAAGGATGACCCCTAGTCGAGCCACCGGCTACACACCATTCTTCATGGTCAATGGTTCTAAGGCTATCCTCTCAACTAACCTCGATTATGGAGCACCGAGGGTCAGGGCATATGATGAATAGGG